AAGGAAGGGATTTTAAAACTTGTTCTGTGTGCATACAGCTATAACTAACAAAAATAACTTCAGCTAGACAAACCTGTAAATTAACCTAACTGGACAACTCCAGTGCTTGTTAATTTGCATGTTAATATATTTGAAATTATACTCATTGGGTCTGTTACAGTCCAGGCTATGCTAAACTGTGAAACAGTTGGCTAAAACCTCCAAACAGTAGCTTCTATCTTAATGGACATAAAACTCCTTTTGTATGTTGAACCAATTTGGCTGAACAGGCCATTAAAATTCCTGTCTTTTTGTGTACAACAGCCTATATGTCTTGTTTGTAGTAATTCTCATTTCATAATTAGTGGTCGTTTTTAAAGCATCTTAAACTGGCCATTTCACGTGTGGAACAGCTGTTTAAATACATTTCCTTTTCACTGCAGAAGATCCTTTTGTGGAAATAGGATGATGCTTTAAGCAACTGGATGCATTAGTTGATGCAAATAGTTGAAATAAGTGTTTGGCTAGGTATTTTCTTAATGCTTTGGAGTCATGAGGATTCATTCTCAGAGGCCTGGGGAAAGTTAACTTGGTTTTAGCAGTAAGGTGTAAAACAAGAATTTTTCCTTGAAGGTGATTGATAAATGACTTTTAGTATTCACTAAAAGTTAACTTTGTTTCTTCTGTTCTTGTTCCCTCAGACATCCTTTATGAGTTCAAATTTGGATTATGTATTTTGCAAGAAGGAACTCCTAGACTTCTTGTTGGATAATTTCGTTTTAGGTCTTTTCAGATTTTGGAAACTCTGGGCATAAAGATAACTTTACATGCTTAGTATCTGTGAAACTAAAAATCCATTGCTACTTATCTGTGTATAAGTAATAAAGGGAAGCTGTGAATCAGACCACATGGTAATAATACAGATACTTGTGGACGTGGAACCTTAAGTGCTAAAAAAATTCAGTGACCTTCAGTGGGTTGTTTGTGGGATAGGAGCCTGATTATGTGGGAGGTATCCTGAACACGGTTATCAAAAGCAGAGGAAAAAAGTATTTTTCCAGTTTGTATGCAACTGTTCTTTGCAGCATTTTTTTTTAGGCAGTAAGGAAAAGTTAAAAGCCAGTGTCTATCTGATTAGGTGCAGTTTTATGGTAGTTTAAACTGATCTAATTTGGGACTGTTAGTGCTGTATGGTTTTGCATCCTTTATTCTGCATCGCATCTGATCCTGAAATCAAGGAGTTGAGCCATTAGAAAGTTAATCACTTTTCTAATAGGATTATATTTCTACTGATTTAACTCCCTGAACTGGCTTGTTACAGGATGAGATTAACCTAAGGGCCTCTGTTAACCAGAGGGAGGGACTGAAAATGCTTATCTAGAGGCAGGATCATGGCAGTGAACAAACACCCAAGAATTGTATATTGGCTGTTGTGCAGGCAGTACAATTGAAAATACATATTCAAAAACAACATACCCTTGAACTGTGATAACAGCACATCTAAGCACAGAGTGCAGTTAACATGCAGTTTTCGAAACTGGGATCAAGTGCCTTTCTGGCTATAGTTGAGTTAGGTTAAAAGTCAAGTTCCTTGTTCCCTTACTGCATGCTTGCAGTAGATGTCCTCACAGGTTTCATGTGTAACTGAATGCATCTTTGCTCACACTCCTAATTCTGGCAAAACAGTCCAGACCGGAAATCCTCAGTCTTGAGTTCTCCGGTATATTAGGAGTGATTATTTGTGAAAGTGCAAGGTAATGAGGCGTTGTTTTGGCTCAGATATAACCAGGACATTGATTTGTCTGCAGTGCAGTTTGCCTTTCTGAAATGTGGATGGCTTTTATCCATCCCGGAGATGGACTGGGACAGGAGAAGGAGTGCTTACTGGCCTTAAGAAGTTGGGGTGTTTTCTTACTTATGACATAAGGTACCAGCAATTCCAAGCAGTCCGGTTTAAAGCCCTGAACATATTGTTATTTTCAATTCTGTAGAGATTCTATAATTTTTGTCCTGTATAACTGCATGGAGAACTTTATCTGCTGCTGCCAAATGAATATTTGCCAATTTAGGGAATTAGTTTTTTTTTTCCCCCCCAATAAAAAAAAGAACATTTTATTATACTTCTTACACAGATTAGGAGTCCTATATGAAACATACAAAATTAATGTAGGATTGCTATGATTATGTATCTTAGCAGCATTTGTTTTTTCACCAGCCTAATTTATTTCAGCCTTTCTGAGCTTATTGCCCTATTTCTACGTAGGTGAAATCAAATTCCTGGAAGTCTTAACTGCTTCACTGACATGTCAGCTGAGTTTTGTGTCATGTGGAAAGGTTTGAGATAATACAACTGAACTACTACTAAAATAGTTGAGGTGTGCTTCAGTGGCCAATCCTACTTTCCTGTTTGAAAGTCACCTACTTATATTGCAGGACCCTGTGCTTCCACAGATACTTCAGTGGCTTTTGTAAGGTGGGGGTTTTTCTATTGTAGCTGACGTTAATAGTACTCCTGATAGGCATTTTCTGTCTCACTGAATGCGGAATAATATATGCTTGATTGAATATTTGAGACAAGTAGATTTCACTGAGATGGAATGTAATGAGAAGCAATGCTTACCACTGATGTGGGTGAATGTGAATTAGTGCTTTATTGAATAAACAACATTTCAACTTTGGGTCATCTGTAGAGATAAATAGTCTTTAAACTTTGAAAATTTCAGATTCATTGCTGTCTTCTGTAAGCTGAAATATGTTTATGATGTCATTTTGGAAGAAATAGAACCACTAGTTCATTTCATACTGTGTTTTGCATCTTAAACCTGTACCAGTTGAACTATAACATGCAGTTATTAGAGTCATAGAATTTTGATGGACTTAGGGATGTAAAAATATTCATATGGAAATGTATAAACTTACTACTTTTGGGCTGAGGACTTTGAGTTACTAATTTTTAGTTTGATTTTTTTATTAAATTCATTTTATAATTTAGTTTGCTGTGGGACTTTGTACTTGCCTTCCAAGCTACAGTGTTTTGCACTGAGCTAAGAATGACTCGAAAACTGAATCAAAAAGAATAATGGTATTTAAACTCCTATAAAGCCCCTCCTACTGAGGAGCTTTCCCTTTCATGCATGGCTGCTATTACATGTCAGTTTAACAGTTCTGCAATGTTTTTGATCATTGTGCATTTTATAAGCAAACTTAATTTAAAATCTTTTAAGGGGTATGCCTTGAATTATATTCTGCAAGTAGGACTGACACAAGAAAAGGTAGTGCTGAAATATAGTAAAAAATAATGATAGCTTTTTTAAATTATGAAGTTGAATTGCAGTGTGTAACATAAGCAACTGTTGTATAGTAGTGCATCTGCAGAGGTTGACAAAAGTAAAGGGGCGGAGCACTCCTGAAAATAAAATTGATGCTCCTAAGTGACTCAGGCTTACTGTGCTTGTTATCCCCAGCTTTTTTCTTTTTTTCCTAAGTCACTGTTTTGTACAGTACTTCACTGGCAGGTTACCTTTGTATAATGGTAATGTAAATGGTCTTCCAGCAAAATCCATTAATAATACCTTGGATTTGTATTCTCGGAACATCTGTTTTCCTTCAGGAGCGATGCACAATAGTGATGCTTGTTAATTTTTTAACTTTACTAGACTTTTAACTTTACTAATTTTTAATTTTACTAGAAGTCATACCTCTGTATTGTCTAGTCACCC